TACCCAAATTTAAAAAGCTCAGAAGCATTTATTTACTTACCATAACTGTTAAGAAATTATAGTCATTACACCTACCATCCATTTTCTTTCACATCATGCTGAAAAAAATTTTAAAAGAAACATCACTTTGCTGCAGAATACCTCCTGTATTTCTGCCTTTGTCTTTCATCAATTGACTGAACTTTTGGATAGCTGAGGAAAGTATAGAATGTACTCTGCCCAGCCCCTGCCTCCCAGGACTTGCTTCCTAGAGAGGAAAGTTCTTTTCAAGACAGTGAGGAGGAAGGTTATCTTTCTTACATGTTAAGTACTCTACGAAATAAAAGGTAGATGTTACCGTGTTGGTCAGTGGGAGAAGAGAAGGAAAATGTGCAAGGAAATTCATGCACTGGGGGGTGTGGGGGAAGTCCCTCAGCCCAGCTTGCACCCTCTAGCAGTCCGGGATCCCTTGGGGGATGTCCGACTGACTGCTTAGGCCCGCTCCTTGGGGGATCAGGCCTAAGCTGGCAGTTAGACATCTCTCTGGCAGCCCGGGAGGACTCGGGGGATGTCCACCTGCTGGCTTAGTCAGACATCCTTAGCACTGCTGTGGAGGCAGGAGAAGTTCGCTCCACTGCTGCTGTATTGGCCAGTCATGAGCCAGCTTCTGGCTGAGCAGCGCTCCCCTGGTGGTCAGTGCATGTCATAGCAATTGATAGTTCCCGGGAGTTCTGCTGTTAGGGTAAATTTGCATATTACCCTTTTATTATGTAGGCTTGCTTGTTGCCCTGGTAGGGTAGCTCAGTTGGGTTAGACCAGGGGTCGGCAAACTGTAGCTCGTGAGCCACATGCGGCTCTTTGGCCCCCTTGAGTGTGGCTCTTCCTAAGCCTTAGGAGTACCCTAATTAAGTTAATAACAGTGTACCTACCTATTAGTGTAAGTTTTAAAAATCTGGCTCTTAAAAGAAATTTCAATTGTTGTAGTGTTGATATTTGGCTCTGTTGACTAATGAGTTTGTCGACCACTGCTCTAGAACAATGCTTCAATCACCACTGAAACTACAAGCCTTCATTATCCTTAGGTATAATATTATTTCCCTTCATATTGAAAACTG